CAAAAGTCTAAGTACACATCTGAGCAGAGGGATGGCAATCCATTAGAAGATTAGGGATGAATGATGTAATCAAGAAGAAAAAGGATTTATCTGAAAACTTTGGATTTCACCTTCGCCCAAATTTCTGCTAAATTAGCCTCCTAATCTTGTCACACGCCGGCGTTTAGGCAAAAAGCAGCATGGCAATACACCACTGTATATCAGAGTGTTTAATAGTGTTACAAATGGTACAGATGGTGAAACATGGGGATACTGGAAGCTTTGTTTGATAGTGACAGGCTTTCAGACCATGGTTCTACATGTTTCAATATGCCTGGAGAAAAAACAAACAAACAGTTGACCCTTTGGTCATTTTTAAATGCCATATACTGGCTACTGAATGATGTATTGAGGACTAACAGATATGAGTTACGGTCTTAGGTGGTTGTAGTCAGGTGCATTATGATTGTCAGATAATAACTTGATAACAAAACTGGTAAACCTTGTTGTCATGCAATTTATGAATACAATTGGAAGTAGCATTTTTTAGGACTATACCTGACCTTTGGAGTGGATACATCTATAAAAAGGATTAGTCTGCTAAAGCCACCTGAATTGTCTCACGAGTAACACAAATAAGATATTTTTGTCAGAGCCATGGATTAAAATGAGCAGCAGGCTCAAAACAAGGACTGTTATTTTAAAAGGGACAGACATGGAACAGTCTTTTTGATAAAGCAGTTCAACATGTTTTCATTTCATTCACAAACAGAATAAATACATGAATAAATAAATGAAATAATGGAGAGGCCATATTGCTTATTTGTTAGACCAAATACAACTGTTTTTAAGTAATTTTACAGTGTAATTTGATAGTATAGATAATTACCTTGTAATGTTGGATATAAATCTATAAATTCTTAATAGGCATTTGTATTTGCAACACTGTATATATGGACAGGTTGAGAGAAATTTTTCTGAAATTTTTTTTTAGTTTACCCATGTCACAATCTGGCTGACCTTGGACCAAAAGGTGGCACCCCCTAGAGCCAGTGGCCATCATTTTCACACCCTGTACCGGTCTAACCATTTTACATGTGGATGTGCAAGCTATATCAGCTTGGGATGGGGGGGCACACTTTGACATCTTTGTCTTGAGTGCCAGAGGACCTTGTCCCACCACTGATTTCCATGGTAGTGTTAACTGTATGTTATATAAAGTATGTTCCTATCACCTAGTATATTAAAATAGCTTTATTATATTGTACTTTTAGTTCTAATCTTACTATCATTGTTAACTTTGCACATTTCTGTAATCTGCTGACAATAGTCAGCATGTCATATTGCCCTAATTTAATAACCGCAGTGAAAATAACCTACAATTGCATAACATAGGAGTCTGAGAAGTAACTTCATAACCTAATATATGAAAAGTGTGCTCACGTGAACATTTCTCACTGTGTATCGCAAACAGTCAGGATTCAGTCAATTCAGTCAAAAAAGAAAGACGGCTGGAAGCTAAATTGATTACTATTGGCAACAAGAAAAAAATTCTTATGCACACTTTTCATATACCGTATATACTCGAGTATAATAATTATATATGTATTGTCTGCACTGTATTAGCAGTATATACTCTATATAGAGTATATACTGCTAATACAGTGCAGACAATACATATATTAGCATACAGTGTATTAGCAGTATATACTACATATAGAGTATATACTGCTAATACAGTGCAGACAATACATATATAATTGCTTAATAAATCTCTCTCCCCCACCAAATCTGCCCTCACTCACTGTGTCCGTGTGCCGGTGATCGATCAAAACTACGAACACATCACCGGAGAGAGCAGGGACGAGTCAGCGGCGCGCTATGCCGCCAGTGCAGACAATACATTTACAATTATACTAACATGAATGGATTAAATGATCTGTATGTAGCCCTGTACTATGGATCATTTAACCCATTCATGTTAGCAGAGGATCATTGTAAATGTATTGTTGCAGGCACTCTATATGTACATGCACTATATACTACATATAGAATGCACTGAACAATAGATTTACAATTATACTCTGCTAATATGAATGGGTTAAATGATCCGTAGTACATGATATGTAGCCCTGTACCCCCTTTTCCACTTACAGAGCTAGGTTATTTTTCTTTTAAATAAATATTAATGTAATTTTATTGGTATCTATCTATCTACCAGTAGCTGCCTCATTTCCCATACTTTTTCCCAGTTTTTTTGTGGTAAAATTAGGTACCTCGGCTTATATTCGGGACGACCTATACTCGAGTATATACGGTATATGAATCTCTTAGGGTAGTGAAGGTAATGTGGATTTAGATCTATATTTAATTTGAGTGGATCCGAGCAGTTAAATGACTCAGTATAAAAAGGTAATTATGATAACACATGTAGATAATAAATGGGGTTCTTTTAAGAGAACATATCAATACTGCAAAACACACACACAGACATATATATATATATACACACACATATATATATATATATACCCACAGTATATAATATTCTCATGGTGATCAACAATTTTAGCAATGATTCCTGGTCCCATTCCTGTCAATTTAACTTTAGGGAGCTCTTGAGGGGGAAGCCACTACAGTGATGACACTGAATAAGGAAAAGGACCACTATGGGGGGGATGCTGGATGCCAAAATAGGTGCAGTACAGGAGACCTGGAGGAGTAGAGGCACTCCAAAGGGAGGAAAGGTGCACTACAGGAGGGAGAGGTATAACAGAGAAAATGTGGGATTAAAAGGCAAGTAGAGGTAAAGTGATGCATAGTATAGGGGGGTACTGGAGAAAGAGAAAATATGAGGGCACACTGGAAAGGAAAAGAGCAATACAGAGGAGACACAAAAGGGGAAAGAGAGCAACAAAACAAAGGGGGTGAAGGAGGTGGAGAGCAAGCACTGTAAAAAGTGTGATTTTGAAGGAAGGCACAAAGGTTGGTGTTTTCATTACTCCCACACTGCAATCCCTCCTGGAAAGAAATGACCACAACTTTGCTATGTTGATAATAGCAGTTTATACTGTATATTGGAAGTATGGTTCTTGTTGGTAGGAAAAGTGACAGCTTGTGCTACTTGTGAGACAAGAATTCTGAAGTTCTGACGTTTAAAGTGCAATTTCAGCATCCAAATAGTTGACACACATCTGGCAAATATTAGAAATCACGAGCCGCTCCATTCAACACTTCACTTGTACCTCTTTCCTGTTGTGTTCCACCTCATCTGATCAATACTGTCTATACAATACACTGTCAGGGCTATTCACAAAAGGGTGAAGAGTTTGGAGAAGGCCGGAGAAGTGAACAATCTAGGCCAAAATAGCTGATTTGGATAAATTATCCAATTCAGTTCACTTTCCAGTTCAGCTGTGTTGTCCTAGATTGTTCACTTCTCCGGCCTTCTCCAAACCCCTCACCCTTTTTGTGAATAACCCTGTGTATGTTACTCCAGTCTCTGCTATGCCTATTGATAGTTGATACCATGAGAATTTCTGCAATAGGTTTTGCAATGTCAGTGTATAGCACTATAGCAATAGTTTCCTATTGTACACATATAAATTAAATTTAGAGGTTTAGTGATGAGCTTAACAAAGTGGATCTGCCCTGCCATTATTGCTTACTATGCCCTCTTTTCACCCATGCAGAATCTTTCAGAATATGAAATAAAATTAAACCATTTGCATAAGAGAATATTCATGTACCTGGTAGTGCACAAGGGTGTTAAGCCTCTTCCAGTCACCTTCTATCTTAGTTGTTATATCTTCATCTTGTAGAACAACTCTTGCGATCCGCCCTTGTCTCCACTCTGTAAAGAAGGATGTCAAAAATCATGCAAAACTCAAGGCTGCAAGTCACAAACTAATTTGCATACTTAAGGGAAGCATACTATACACAAAGCAAAGGTTTGCTGCCAATTTGCTGAATATTTTAGCTTTTAACATTTCTACATGTGTGGTTGACTAATCCTGGTCATCTATACTATAGAATATACATAAATAATAGAATATGATACAAGATAAAGTCAATAAAATCATAGGAATAATATACTACATATTCTTTTATTTCATATGACTGATTAGGAATCAATTTTTGGTAACCTACCCAAGTCCATATCTACTGCTCTTGGCCTCTGAGAATATGGTACATTTTTATATACAGCATCCAAGATCTTTTCCTTGACTTGAGTGATAGTGTCACAGTTTAAGACTTTCACAGGAATCTCTGGGCTGTTCTCATTGTCGGGGTTCACACAATTTAAAATCTACAAAGCATGAGAAAAGAACACAGTATAAAAAAATTGAAGCCAGGGTCTCATACAGTCACACAAAGATGCAATATAGCTGCAATGCAAAAATATATCCATTTAGACTTCTAACATTTTTGTAGATGAGTAACAACTCACTCATATGATTGTTTGGAAATTATTATTATACAGGACTTATATAGCGCCAACAGTTTGCACAGCGCTTTACAATATAGGGAAGACATTATAATTACAATACAATACAATTCAAGACAAGATGGTAAGGAGGGCCCTGCCTGTGAGGGCTTACAATCTAAGAGGGATAGAAGTGAACAATCTAGGCCAAAATAGCTGATTTGGATAAATTATCCAATTCAGTTCACTTTCCAGTTCAGCTGTGTTGTCCTAGATTGTTCACTTCTCCGGCCTTCTCCAAACCCCTCACCCTTTTTGTGAATAACCCTGTGTATGTTACTCCAGTCTCTGCTATGCCTATTGATAGTTGATACCATGAGAATTTCTGCAATAGGTTTTGCAATGTCAGTGTATAGCACTATAGCAATAGTTTCCTATTGTACACATATAAATTAAATTTAGAGGTTTAGTGATGAGCTTAACAAAGTGGATCTGCCCTGCCATTATTGCTTACTATGCCCTCTTTTCACCCATGCAGAATCTTTCAGAATATGAAATAAAATTAAACCATTTGCATAAGAGAATATTCATGTACCTGGTAGTGCACAAGGGTGTTAAGCCTCTTCCAGTCACCTTCTATCTTAGTTGTTATATCTTCATCTTGTAGAACAACTCTTGCGATCCGCCCTTGTCTCCACTCTGTAAAGAAGGATGTCAAAAATCATGCAAAACTCAAGGCTGCAAGTCACAAACTAATTTGCATACTTAAGGGAAGCATACTATACACAAAGCAAAGGTTTGCTGCCAATTTGCTGAATATTTTAGCTTTTAACATTTCTACATGTGTGGTTGACTAATCCTGGTCATCTATACTATAGAATATACATAAATAATAGAATATGATACAAGATAAAGTCAATAAAATCATAGGAATAATATACTACATATTCTTTTATTTCATATGACTGATTAGGAATCAATTTTTGGTAACCTACCCAAGTCCATATCTACTGCTCTTGGCCTCTGAGAATATGGTACATTTTTATATACAGCATCCAAGATCTTTTCCTTGACTTGAGTGATAGTGTCACAGTTTAAGACTTTCACAGGAATCTCTGGGCTGTTCTCATTGTCGGGGTTCACACAATTTAAAATCTACAAAGCATGAGAAAAGAACACAGTATAAAAAAATTGAAGCCAGGGTCTCATACAGTCACACAAAGATGCAATATAGCTGCAATGCAAAAATATATCCATTTAGACTTCTAACATTTTTGTAGATGAGTAACAACTCACTCATATGATTGTTTGGAAATTATTATTATACAGGACTTATATAGCGCCAACAGTTTGCACAGCGCTTTACAATATAGGGAAGACATTATAATTACAATACAATACAATTCAAGACAAGATGGTAAGGAGGGCCCTGCCTGTGAGGGCTTACAATCTAAGAGGGAGGGGCAAGTGATAAATGAGGAGGTAGCTGTGTGGGGATGAATTGTTTGAAAAAGAGTTCAGTGGTTAGTTTGACGTGTGATAGGCTTCCCTAAAGAGATGAGTCTTTAGTGATTGCTGAAAGGCAGTCAGAGTGGGAGATAGATGGACAGGTTAGGGTAAGGAGCTCCAAAGAATGGGAGAGACTCTAGAGAAGTTGACGAGGAAGCTAGAGAGCAGGAGGTCTTGGGAGGAGCGTAGGGGACGGTTAGGGTGATACTTAGAGACAAGGTTAGAGATATAACCAGGGGCAGAGTTGTGAAGTGGTTTGTATTTAGAATGTTATCCTTTGGGCGATTGGAAGCCAGTGCAGGGATCGGCAGAGGGGGGTTGCGGATACTGAGCGGTTGGTTAGGTGGATAAGTCTAGCAGCTGCGTTCATGATAGACTGAAGGGGGGATAGTCTGTGTAGAGGTAGGCCGATGAGGAGGGAGTTACAATAGTCAAGACGAGAGATAAAAAGTGAGCGGATGAGCAGCTTTGTGGTTTCATTGGTGAGGAAGGGGCGTATTTTGGAAATGTTACGAAGGTGAAGACGGCAGAATTTGCATAGGGATTGGATGTGGGGGAAGAAAGGTGAGGTCTGAGTAGTACAGGATGACACCTAGCAACTTGGCATGGGGGGAGGGTTGGATAATTGTGTTCTTAATAATTATCTAAAAGTTGGGAGAGGGTGCACGGGGGGTGGGGAGGGAATACCATGAGCTCAGTTTTTGAAATATTGAGCTAGAAATGTGTTTCTACTTTGTACTAAACTATTAGCAAGAATAACAAACATTATTACTGCAGAAATTGTCTAATAATCTACTGTAATTGAGAAATGCATACTGCTGCCAGTTTTTTAAATTCCAAAAATGACCTATATATCAAGCTACTGAACAGTACATGCAGAGACAATTCGACTGGCTGTGTTCCATTGACTCTTGGCTTTGTGGTATCCGCTTATATTTACCAGTGTTTTGTACTCAATCTGCTGTCGAATTAGTTTATCTTCACTAAGTGAGTAGCGAGCTTCTCCAGTGATGGAATCAATAGGTCCTTTCTCCATTTGTTGCTTGATTGCACAGTGCAACATGAACAGGGGCTCCCCAGCACACTCCTATAAACACACATATAGAGATTCTGATATTGGTAAAATACATGAACTAGAAACCTGAAAATAATGCAGCTGCCATGTACATATTTTATGCTTGGATGATTGATTACAGATGTGTTGATAAACTGAAAAACCTTTATTTTAATTTTTCTTGGCTGATATAAGAATAACAATCTAATAACATCCAAAAACTTCACAATTTAGAGTTTGTGAACGCTCACAAACTATCCCCAAGTAGAGATCCCAAAAAGGATAGTGAACATCAAACTATCGCTATCCAACATACATGATATAAATTTATTTTACAATTATGACACTCAAAAAATATTAATAGAACAAAAAAAATTGCATGAACACACATTTAAAATGCGTTCATGCATATTTTTTTGATCTATTAATATTTGTTTTTAAAAATAGGCCTAATTTTACAAGCTTTAACACCAGCCTTAGTCACTACATGTTCAACTATGTAACTTTAATTTTCAAACTTCACTTAACTCAACTGAAAATATCTGTCACTTTTTTGAAAAAAAAAAAAAAAGGATACTTAATCCTGGTGTATTAGCTCTGTGAATGGAGACTATGTTTTTTCCTGGTATCACCTGATTCCTGCTTATGATTGGTCTTGTCTCATTGAATAGTGGGACTTACTGGTAGTGAACTGATATTATTAACAAGAAACCCCAGATCTACAGGTTTTAAATTGTTATAACCATGGCTAAATTTTATTTTGAACTAAGCAGAAGGACACATTTCCAACCATCTCTGAGTCCAAGTCTACTTCTGGAAAGAATACAATACAATAAATAGAAAGAAAGTAATGTTAATGGTTGTACCTTGAGAAACTTGTGTAGAAGGAAAGCAAACCAGTTAGTCAGCATCTTTTCTGCTACAGACTCAGTCCTGGAGAAAAATTTTAAATTTGTCAATTAGTTGTAACATTGGGCAAACATTTCTTCAAATCTGTAGTATCAGTGCAATACAATAGTATCTAATATTAGATAAACTCAAAACAAATTTGCAAACCAATATGGAACCTTGAATGCCCCATGAGGCTTTCTAAATGCTAATTACTCAGCAAATTAATTATCATTGCTTATACCTCCATTAAAACACATAAGGCAGAACTTGCAGCGAATCTGGACAATCTAAGATTTGTAAATAATGAGCTATCTACAGTTCCTTGGATCACAGTGTTTTTGAAGTATGTGCGTACTTATGGTAACACTGGTGTGTCTTTTTAGGGCCAGTTCACACTTGCACTGGGCTGCATTGCTCAATGCAGCCCCAACACAAGGACAAGACCAATTTCCTTCATACCAATTGTCCTAGTTCACACCAACATGGTGTGCTGGGGTGCACTGGTTGAATATAGAACATTTATTTTGGCCCCTGCTGTTAAAAAAAAAAGGAAGAAAAATGGGTGATATTAAAGTCAAAATATTTTTAAGCTTTTTCAAATTCTCGTAAAATCACTTACTCCTTGGTGTTTACATGTTTTCATTTCCTGTATAATAAGCTGGTTCCCTGAGCACTGGAATGAACCTGCTTTAACTAGAACATGCATTTTTCACCCTTAAACACCACCACCTATGTCTTTCCCATTAACTGCAATTCATTTGTCCACAACTGCAAAATTAAACTAAAATTTTAAGGAAATAAAAATGCTCAGTTTTGCTCACCCTTATTGCTGGTTTACAGGCACCCAGTGCGGAACAGATTAAACAATACTGTTTGAGAGTTAGTAGTGCTAATATATGCAAAGATCTTTATTTCTTTTTTTTTTTAAAACAAAATCAGAAATAACATGATGCCATGAGATATCATGAGACCAAATAGTGAAACTGTTAGCCTAGTACTAAACAAATAATGTTGTAAACTTAAAAAATGCTTAAAAAGGTTAAAACCAACAGTTCTATTAAATAACACTTTCTGTAACAAACTTTATTCTCATTTTACCTCTAATGATCAACACAATAGCCAGTACTGGTGCTCTAAGATTGACCGGTCCCATAATGTTTAACCTTTCTGATAAATCCCCTGATAGTCAAACTCCTCCCAAGAGTTCAAAGAGAGAAGTTCAGTTTTGTACCTTACGGAGTGAGTCTTACTTCATTGAGGCGGGTATGATAGCACATACCATTTCATAAGTAAAACTTCTGCCATTCCATAAATAAATTACAACTTTGTATAAAAATAAACTATGTTCCTCCTGGCTTCCAAAAACTGTGTGGGCCATGATGAACTACTGTTCAGTACTATATATAAACATATTCCAGCACTATACTATACATAAAACATCTGTATATACACACTATGTAGCACTATATACCTATATACATAAGATCCAAATATACATACGCACACAGAATCCAGCCTCCCCCTTCTGTTGATCCATTGTGAAGCTTTCCCCTGTGATGCTAACCCTCTGCAGAGAGAGGAATGTGGGAGGTAGATGCTGATGCTATGTGCTGCTTTTTCCCAGACTGAATAGGATGGTGCAGCTCTTCAAGAACAGGAGAGATTGGGAAGCTCTGGGTTTTTACTAGTTTTTCCCTCTCTAAAGCTGTCCCTGACCACGGTTCTAAACAAATCTAAAACACACGCACTAAATCTTTTTTTGTTTCCTGGTGAATATTTGGTAGCTATAATAAGTGAATGGAGAGATTTTTAGTTTCGTCGTCAAGTTCTCCACTGAGATAATGTGTAATATACTAAAAGCCCTCCTACTTTCAAATCCCAGTTTTATAAAATGGAAGGAACTGGAGTCTCTACAAATGTGGAAAGGAGGCATATAATGCATACATTAAGTGGGCTTTCTCTTTCTACTCATGTTGTTAATCCTGTGCAAGCTGTTCACACTTCATGTTAAGCTTCACAAAAGGAAGAACAAATCTGCTTTTCGAAAAGCAGCTGTAATTTATGTCCAAGCTGTGAGATTATAAAAACCTGAAAGATTATTCCAACAAATCTCTGCTTTCTTTATGTTATTTCTGCACAGCAGCTGTGATTATTACGTTTCTTTTCTCATCCTAACAAAAAGAATACGTCCTACCATGCGTTTCACAAAAGAAAATTGGGAGAAAATTTACTTATTATTGTGGGCTACATGCGTTAACTCTTTCAATAATGAATTCTGGCACTGTGCTTAATACATACAATGTAAAAGGAATATATTAAACCTAGTGATACTTTAAGAAATGTAATCTTTTGTTTTACTTATTACTATTACGTCCATATACTATAATTAAAAAAAAACAAAACTGCCAGAGGCCATTTCAAAACCCTACCACAAAACATTGTGATAGCACTGTACCTTGTAAAAATAATAAAAAAAAGTTATCCTACATAAATAACAAATATTGAAACCTAACTCCAGCCAAAACATTTTCCAGGTAAACAGACTGTAATAAAAACCTTTTTCCCCAGCCCAATATACCATTTATACGGGGACACAGTTTGTGTCCCCTTATAAATCAAATTTCTGGTTTTGATGAACACCGCAAAAAGAGTAAGCACACCTCTCCAATAGGGAAAGAGATAGCAACAAAAACGTATGGAAATCTTTTATAATTGTTATTGCTTATACTAGTAAAGCATATTGTGAACCTTACTGAGCCAAAAGTCTCATAAAAAAAACAACAAAATACAGTTCCCTGTAGAGGATAAGCCTTTACACTCTTCAGAAACCCATGTGTCCTACCCTTACCCTGTTTCAGCCCTTCAGACTCTGCCAGTGTCTTTGGAATTTACCACTTTTGGGAATGTCGAAGACCTGTCCCCCCTCTCCTTGCACTATGGTTCCAGCTTCTAACCCTATGTCCTAAGTGATTTAGGGGTTGGAGGATGGTACCCCTAACCAAAGGGCTGGACTGGTGTTAAATTAGACCCTTAAATAACTCTGCCTGTACTACCAGCTGTCATAGAATGCTATAGCAGTAGGAGGATGTTGTAAAAAATTTTTGGAAGACATAAGCTTCACAAAATATTCTACTGTTAATGTAAACCTGCAATAACAGTACTATGGAGGCTTCCATTGCAGATCTTTCATTTCAACAATCATAATTGCCTTGCTGTCATTCTGATCTTCAATCATCAATACTTTGAGAAACTGACTTAAAAAAAAGCACACACATAACCATTTCTTACATTTTCTGATCACTTCTTCTGGTTAGTGACTCAGAAAGGTTAAATCTAGATAATCAGCATAACAACTTGGCAGCTAGTTTTTGCAGTAGGTCAGGGATGGTAGCCCCAATTTTACGTGACGATGGGTTTACTTTACATAGTGACACTGTTAAACTGGGCATACACTGTAATATTTTCTTTATTCAACCGGCAGGCTGAACAAAGAAATTATTACAGAATCCTCCATCAATGCTTACAAGCATTTATCAAAGAATCTCCCGCTGTCTTTATTGTAATACCCGAACAGAGCCGACAGCTCATTGGCTGCCCGCTCTGTTGGTTCAAAGATTTTCCAAGCAGCTCCTTCGATCAGCTGATCAAGGGATGCCATCCCAAAGGGTGCCAACAGCCACATCCATTGTGCATATTTGTGTATGGCCAGCTATAGTCAGGTTGAAAGAACAAAAAAAAACCATTGAAGAAAGAGTCCCTGGTATTAGACAGCAGACATTTTGTTTTACATTAAAATATGAGCTGCTAGAATAAGAAGACTGGAGAATATAAATATCAGTAACAATATTTCTTTAATTTGTACAAAGAGAAGGAAAGAAACTAGAATTTTACTTAGACAGCATTTAAAAAAAAACTAATATATAATGATATATAATTTAATATCAAACCCATTAAATAAAGTGTATAAACCCCCCAACACACTTGTTATGTTGTACTGTCATACGGAGACAATGCTGCTTCTCCACAGATACAGTACAATGAGTGAGCGCTGTCACTCTAGGACAGGTAATGTGTAATTGGCAAGCCCACCATGTGAAAATAAAGCAAAAAAATCAAATAAAATTAAATAATGTTGCCACCACATCTAAGGCATAGTAAGCTACAATATATTAAATTTTTTTGACCATGAGTTTAGATAGACTTCAAGCTAAATTACCTAAAGTAACCTTACTATAGGGACACTTCTAAACTAACATCAAGCCCAGAGATCAACTTTAAAAATGATACATAAAATGTTAGTTTTACAATGGTACATACATTTCCAAAGCACTATGTGTTAGCAAAAAAGACAGCAGAGCAGACAAAGCTTGCTATGACGTTCAGTTTATCTGATTTAAACCTCAAAGTAAGCCATCTGATGAGTGACAGAGTGAGTACTACCATGGTGGTTCATGGAGTTAAAACGCAACAGGCTTTTTTCAGAACAGCTGAGTGGGATAGCATACTTCACATGTGGAAAGGAGACTAGAGCTCCTTGCTAGCTGGATGGAAGACTGTTTAGTATTCACATGCAGTATTTAATATTTTCCTGACTTAATATTTCATTAAAAACACATGTACTGAACACCAAGGTATTCCAATACAAAAAATGTATTGCAGTTTATGCAATGATTGCAGCAAAGTTCCATCCCCTGAGATTTTTCCTAGAAGGGAACAGAGTCCTACGATGTGAGGACACATTAAATACTAACCTGGGTGTCACCCATATCCCTTACACAAACATTTGAGACATGCATTACATTTTCTGGTTAGAAAGATGTGAACAGAAGTTAACACGAAAAAGGCACGGGTGTGAATAGGACCAGTTCACACCCCTGAGTTGCATTGTGTTGTAGTGGGCTGAAGAAAAAAAAAGTAGAGCATGCTCTACTTTCCTTCTGCGCAATGTAATCCAATGTGTCTAAAACGGATGCCAACGCAACTCGACGGAAAGGGAAAAAAATACATGGAAGTTTGTCCGCTCAGGACCTGTTAATTAAAAT